GGGGGCCTCAGGGGTGCTGGGATGCTGGGTGGGGGTTCGGGGGTGTGGGGTTTTGGAGGCTCAGAGGTGCTGGATATGGTGTTGGGGGGGATTCAGGGGTGCAGAGGTGCTGTGGGGGGGGGTTTGGGGGGCTCAGGGATGCTCGCTGGGGGATTTTGGGGGACCCTGGGCTGCTGTCCCTTGCCTGGAGGGGGGGACCTGGCAGTGCAGGGGGCTGAGGAGAGAATTTCAGGATGGGGCAGTACCCGAAAAACCGCGATAAAACGAGCAATGGCACCGACAGGAGACAAAAATCTGTCACTGAAGCACTCTGGAAAAGCAGCCGGAATTACATAATCCTCCCAAAAGTGCCACTCGTGTCCCGGAAAGGGACAGTGCTGGGACACGGGGCCACGAGCAGGAGCATCCCGGCAGCTCTGGGAGGGACAGATCCAAAAGGAAATGCCCTTTTTTTGCCCTAAACCGCCAGGTTTTGGTGGTATTGCTTCCCTGTGAGGAAGAACAATCCAGGAGGAGGAGGAGGAGGAGGAGGAAGGGGCCGGGATGAATCAAACCCCATCCCTATTGTGCCAAATCCTGTCCTCACTGTGCCAAATCCTGTCCCCATCGTGCTAAAGCCCATCCCATCGTGCCCTCTGTCCCCATCCAGCCCAAAATCGCCACGGGCTCACCTGAGAGGGGCGGGGACTTGCCCTCATCCCTCTGCTCCATATTAATGAGCCCCTTCCTCCTCCTCCTCCTCCTGGGCCGGCCCTCCCGGTGCCCCGGAGCGCTGCGGCGGCCGGCGCTCGGTGCCAGGCGCGCTCGGTGCCAGCCCGGCTCGCCATGGCCCGTGCCACCAGCCTGGTGTCGCCGCTCTGGCTCCTGCTCCAAGCGTCCTGCCTCTGCCTGGCCCAGCTCGTGAGTGCCCGGCTCGGTTCCGGGCCGGAGAGGGGGACTGCCTCTGCCTGGCCCAGCTCGTGAGTGCCCGGCTCGGCTCCGGGCCGGAGAGGGGATGGAGAGGGGGTTCAGAGGGGATGGAGAAGGGGATGGAAAAGGGGATTCAGAGGGGATGGAGAGGGGGATTCAGAGGGGATGGAGAGGGGGATTCGAGAGGGGGATGCAGAGGGGTTGGAGAGGGGCTGGAGAGGGGGATGCAGAGGGGTTGGAGAGGGGGATTCAGAGGGGACATTCCCCATCTCCACTCCCTCGCAGTGCTGAGCATTTTGGCTTTATTCCCCCAGCACTTCTCCCGTGTTTTTCCCAGGGTGGGAACAGCCAACCCGTGCGGACTTGGAAATTCAGGAATTGTTGGCTAAAGGAGTTTAGTTTGATTTTCCCTCTGGAGCAGCAGTGGGGGGATTTGTCTTTCCCACTGGATTTTTTGGGAAATTTGGTCCCGTTTTCCTGGGATGTGCAGCAGATCAGGGCTGAGCGGGGCTGGGGGGGCTCTGACCCTGCCGGGGTGGTCCCAGGGCTCTGTGGGGCTGTCGGGAGGTCCCTGTGGACTCTCCAGACTCACCCAGGAGCAGGAGAAAATGGGTCTGGAAAAAGGGAAGGTGAGCCCTGGAGAGGGGCTGGCAGTGGGATTCCACCTGGGAAAACTCTCCTTGCCTTACAACTGCAAAAAAAATCAGATTTTAGAGGTTTTGGGAAATTTTTCCGTGTAATTCCTGAGCTGCCTGTTGGAAGCTGGGGGACAACTCCTTCCTAAACCCCCCCGGGGTCCCCATGGGCTTGTGGGGCAGGGGAGTGGAGCAGGGGGGATGTGGGAATTTCGGGAACAAGGAACCCTTTGGAATTCGTTCCTTGGGCAGCACAAAGGTGCCATTCAGGGGAGATCCCGGGGATGGGCTCAGGGATTGATCCAAGGTGGAGCTGGGGCTCTCCTGTTGTGTACACGAACCAGCAGCACCTCTCACCCCTATAGATTTACATCGATTCCTACATTTATTCCTTATATTTATATTAATTTTTTTAATTAATCCAGCCTGGGAGGCTGGAGGAGCTGCAGGAGTGCAGCCCAGCCACCGTCTGCTTCCCATTTCCAGGAACACCAGGGCTTCAGTCTGCAGCACTGGAATCTCTTCCCCCTGAACTCCCCGTTAGGATAACAGAGGTTTCTTTGCCGAGTCCTGTGCAAACCTCAAAGCCAGGACCAGGCTCCGGGAGCTTCCCTGAATGGAGCTTTTGTCTGGAGCCTGGGAGCAGAGCCAGCCTGGCCCAGGGAGAGCTCACACAGAGGGGCTGGGGGTCCCCACCTCATCCTGGGGTTTGGGGCACCTAAATCCTGCCAGTGCTCCCAGAAATCCCACTCTGAGCTGAAAGGGATCTTTGGAAGGGCTGCTGTCACCCCATGGACACCCCGCTCTGGGAGTGGCAGGGAAGGGGGGATAGAGATGGGGTAGAAATGCTTGGGGAGCCTGCTCCATCCAGGCAGGAGCAGGATGGGGCAAAAATGTCACCCCACAGAGATCCTGTTCCATGGAGGGAGGAGATCCTCAGATACCAGGGGAAGAGGGAGCAGAAATGGTGCAAAAATGTGACCCCACAGAGATCCTGTTCCATGGAGGGAGGAGATCCTCAGATACCAGGGAAAGAGGGAGATGAAATGGGGTAAAAATGTCACCCCATGGAAATCCTGCTCCATGGGGTCAAGAGATCCTTGGATACCAGGGAAAGAGGGAGATGAAATGGGGTAAAAATGTCACCCCATGGAGATCCTGCTCCATGGGGTCAAGAGATCCTTGGATACCAGGGAAAGAGGAAGCGGGGGTAAAAACGCTGCCATCACCCCATGGAGACCCCGCTCTGTTCCCCAAGGACACCAGGACAGGAGAGGGGAGAAATGGGATAGAAACTGGGCAGGGAGTGAGGCACTGGAGGTGCCAGTGTGAGAAATCCTGGATTTATTTCCCCATCCATGCCCTTGCGGGGGGATCCACAGGAGGGGCAGAGCTCTGAGCCCTCGGGGTGTTCTCCATGCCAGCTCCCTGGAAGAGGATTCCCAGCACATTCCCCACACGTCTCGGGCTCCTTCCTGACGTGGATCCCATCCCTTTTTCCACAGCGAGGGCCCCCAGGAGAGCCTGGCCCACGAGGGCCCCCCGGTCCCCCAGGAGTGCCGGGAGCCGATGGCATCGACGTGAGTGAGCAGCAACCTGTGCTGGCTGAGGGAGGGAGGGAGGGAGGGGACACGGAGCACAAAAGGGACATTGTGAGCGGCACAGGGCCGGGGGTGCCGCTCCCTGCTCTTCCCACTCCTGATTTAGGGCAGACAGAGCAGCCCCAGCTCTGTTTGGTGCTGCACCCCAAATCCAGCTCCATCCCCAGCTCGGGAATTGGGGGTGGGATTGGTTTTTGGGGAATGCAGGACAGGGAGGTTGGGGTGCTCGCAGGGCTTGGGGCAGGGAGCAGCCCAGAGGTGCCCAGTGAAGGGGGGACCTGTGGGGGGACAGTGACACCCCAGTGAGGTTCCTGTAGAGGGATGTGGTGGGGGATTGTGGCTCTGGATCCTCCATGGGTTGTGGGATGG